AGGCAAAGCACACCCAGTGCCTGGCACAATGGCAGAATTCAGCAGGCAGATGAGGAGGAAGCTGGGTGTCTCCTCCTCATTCCTGCTAGCTTCCCAAGAGCGAAAGGCTGAAAGGGCTTCCGGAAACCGGTGTGGCCCTTCCCTATACCGGTAAGAACAGGGAGTCCTTTAGTTCTCTGCTGAAATCAAAGCGAGGTCCCAGGGCTGCACATTCTTGTACAAATGCCAAAGCTACCATGAAGTGTCAACATCAGACAGAAATTTCTTTCTGCTTCCATGCTGTTAACAGGAAACTGAAAAGTGGAAAAAAAACAAGGCACCCTTCCTCACAGTATACCCGGACACTCAAGGCGCCTGCAGTCCCAGGCAGAGGTCAGGTATCCGTGTGGGACGCCCCCTGGAGGGAAATACAGAAAGCACAGCCAGGCGCTCAGGCCCTTCCCTGCTAGTGCAAAGGCGTGGACCCAGCAGCAGGTACTCCTGAGAGGAGGTGAATGCTCATGAAATCAGGAAGTGAGCCCCTCCGAAGCCAGCCCTTTCTTTCCAGCCATGAAGTTCTGCCACACATCACACCCAAAGGTCCGAAGGGTCACGTGAATCCTCTGACCCTCCTCCTGAGTTATCCTGGGTCTTTAGTCACAGCCACAGCAGCTGACTGACACCCTCTCTCTCCTAGACACTGCCCCCATCAGGCAGGGAGGACACTACTGCAAAGAAAATTAGAGAAATACAAAACACCACGTGATTTGGACCAGTTCCTATAATCATGTCCATGCCTCTGAGGTGGATGTAACTGTCCCATTTTACAATGTCCAGGGAAGCTAAGCAGCTCTGTCCCAGCTTGGCAGGGCCTAATTTAGCTAGACACCAGGGCTGAGGGTCAGCAGCTGGCAGCTCTTCCTGCTCACCTGGAAGGGTGGAGGGCCCCCTGAGAACTGAGAGATCTCAGATCTCCTGGAATCCCCTCCTCCCCCCCCCCTGTGGGGGGACCTCGCTAGGTCATATTGTTGGGATCCTGCCATATCAAGCAAGTAGAATTTGAACTCCAGAAAATTTCCAACACAGAGCACAATGGCAGCCAGCTACAGGTGCCTGGCAGATGGAAGGAAGCAGGGAGAGCAGGGTCGTGCTGATGTTAATCTCCCACCACTTGGATTTTAAATGAATCTCAGCAAACACGCATCTACTTTGAGCCATCTTCCTGGTTGGCGAAACTCCCAACACAGGCAGTAGTCTTTCTGTGTCTCTGGAAATGTGTGCAGATACCAGGCAGAAATTATTTGAGTCTTGGGGGAAATGCCTCCTGCTGCCACCACATATGTAGCGAGAGCTCAGTTATTAGGACCTTTTCAAAATGAACTGGGTACATCCAGAGATGGCACACATGTTCCCTGAGGGGTTCCGAAGCCCAGGTGAGGTATTCACATTGGATTTCAGCCTCCTCCCAGAACTCAGTCCCTCCATGCTGCTGAGGGACTTCAACTGCTCCCTGAAGGCAGGTTGGCCCATAATGTTTCAAGGAGAAGAGCTTAGGTGCTGCTCCTTGGTTTAACACAAGTGATTTTTCCCTCCCCAATGACCTCCTTGCTGGACACACACTGGTGATCTTTGTCCTGTGAGTGAGATTCTTTGTGTTGGGCTGCCCGTTTGGACTTCCTGTTCAGGAGTATGTCCTCCTAGGCTGCTGTGGGCTCTGGTCCCGCAAGGTGGTAAGACAGAAGGTATTAGAAACCTATGGGAGAAAGCTTGCAGTTCTTAAGAAATGACACTGCCTTTCCACCAAAGGCAGGAAGCATAATACTTTCTGCTCCTTAGTTCCAATTGATATCATTTGGTTTTTCTCTCATGAGTTTTAGGGGATTAAGATTTACTAAAATAGGGCTGGGAAGGTGGCTCAGTGGTAGAGTGCTTGCCTTGCATGCTTGAGGCCCTGGGTTCGATTCCTCAGCATCACATAAGCAGGGGGGAAAAACCCGGAAGTGACGCTGTGGCTCAAGTGGTAGAACGCTAACCTTGAGCTGAAGAGCTGAGGGACAGCGCCCAGGCCCAGAGTTCAGGCCCCACAACCGGACCCCCCCAAAAAAAAGATTTACTAAAATAGTGTTCTAGAAAGATATCATTCACCAGAGGCATGAAGAAATCTTTCTATTTCAATGGGAAATTGAACTCCTCTTGTCCATTCTCTTTTATATTATTTAATCCAGGTCTTCCTCATTTTCCTTCCTCAGTTTCCATCTAGACATTTGTCAGCATCTGGAGGTATTTTTTGTCATCACCAATAGAGGTGAAAGATACCCATCATCTTTAGTAGGTAGCGGCCAAGGGTGGCACTAGACACCTTGTGATGCTCAAAATGGCCCCAGTGCAAGGATTATCCAGTACAAATGACAGCCATGCCAAGGCTAAGAAACCTTTGCTTTCATTCTCAATGACATGAGGAACCTTGCCACCATTGCCCATATTGTCTTAGCTGCTGACTGTCCCCACCTTCCTATTACCTTCCATGTGTAAGGTATGCATTCCACTGTCTCTTTTTCTCCCTCTATCACCCTTAGGAAGCAGCCTGGGGCTGGTTTTATTCTTCCTCCATGAAAGTTGATCCAAAGCACCCAGACTTGCTTCTGCCCTAAGATATTTTTCTTGATCCTTTGATTGAGCTCTTTTTGGAGCCTTAACAGAATTAAACTCTCACCACAGATGGGAGCTGGTCGTCCATGTCTGGAATCCTAGCTATTTAGGAAGCCAAGAATAGGGAGATCATGGTTTGAGGGCAGCCCTGGAAGAAATGTCAGCAAAACCTCTTTTCAACTCATTGCTAGATGCAGTGGGGCATGCTTGCCATCCCAACTTGAGTGGGAGGCTGAAATGAGGGCACCCCAGCTTCCAGACCACCGGGGTAGAAAAGACCAAAAGACTGTCCACAGAGGGAATCTGGACAGGATGGCAGGCGCATCAGAGAGTCTAAAGCAGACTGCTCAGGGTCATGTCTGGAGCAAGAAGAGAGACTGTATCCTAAACATAACCAGTAAGAACAGCTGTTGAAGGTGTGGCTGAGAGGTACAGCACCAGACTAGCCAGCAGGAAGCTCTCAGTGCAAGCTCTGATTCTGCCCCCCCCCACACACACACAAATAAAAAACACCCTAGAAGGCTCTGCTTGATATGTTCACACCCTCAGTTTCTTGCTCCTCATTTCTCTCAATGCCTCCTAGGGTCTGACTCTCGTGTGTCTCAGCCGAGGGCAGCCTGTGTTCCCAGTCTATCCCTTTAAGCCTGATTCCCGTCCTTCCCTCGAAGCCTGCCATCTTTTGTGGGTGCTTTAGCTATCCTCCCCCGGTGTGTGTTCACCCGGTGAGCAAAGAAAGCACAGTGTCCACCTTCCACCAAACCTGATCCGCGCTCCTGTGACCCCTCCCTGCCCATTTCTTCCTGCTTACTCCAAGGTCAGCCTAAGTGTGGTCACTCAGCAGACATCAATGACGTTTTTGTGTGTCAGAGACCTTATTCTCCTGTGGCAACACAGATTAATAGAGCTCAGACTCTTCCCCAGGGGAGCTCACAAACTAGTGAGCCAGACAGAGTGCAGAAGCTTTGATTACAGAGCTAAAAAAAGATGTCCTTACTCAGGCCACAGGGACCCAGCAGGCTAGGGCTGCTTTCACCTCACCAGACCTTTTGATACCCAGACGAACCTCCACACTGTGTTGTGGCTATCTATCACTAAGTATCAGAGGAGTGGTAACATTCAGAGCATGTGAATAATGCATCGTATGAATCATATATAGGTGTGTGTGTGTATATATATATATATATACACACACACACACACACACACACACTTACATTTACACACACACTTGTGTATGTGTTAGGGAATCTATTTTAAAACATAGAAATTAACAAAAGATAAAGTTTGAACGTAAATATAATAGATTTTGCAAAGTAATGGTAACTATAAATTAGTTAAGGGATGTTAAATATAAACTTGTAAATAGACATGAATTCTCATTCATTTGGAAACTTTGGAATTCTCTCCTTCAGTTTAATAACTTGTGTCCCATGGAATTATAAGATACTCAGGGATGAGTCAAAGCAGGCTGCGGCTACCCCTGTGTTACTCTGAGGGCTGCCTGACAAGGCAGGCCAGCAGCACGCATGCCTCACCGCTCTGGCTGCCAGGAGACCAATGTGTCCACAGGCTTGGTTTTCCTCTTTCTTTGGCCTGTAGCTGGCACTTCTTGGGCCCTCATGTGTTCACCCTTCTGTGCATGCCTGTCTCTTCGTCTTCCCTTCTTACAGGGGACCCCAGTCCTGCTATGTTAGGGATGTCCCCAGTGACCTCTGGGAATGACCTCTTAGAAGGCATTCCCCACTGTGCCATGGTCACATTCGGGAACTGGGTTACAGCTTCACGTAGGGCTGGAGTGAGAAGAGGCCTCCAGGCCCCAGCATTTTCCTCCTGGAGACCTGAAAAGCAATAGCTGGAGGGGGGGAGCATTAGCAGAATTTCGGGGGAACAAGACATCTGACACCAGAGGCAGGAAGCCTCAGTCATAATGGGGGGAACCAACCACGGTAAAAGCCGGCAGTGGGCGGGGACAAAGGCTCTCCTTTCCTGTCTTTCCTGGAGTTCCCATTGGTCAGTCCCTGCTAGAAGCCAGGGGTAAGGTGGTACAGTCCACAGGGATCAACAGACAAAGGCCAGCACTGGGTGACGAGGGCAGACACTCTGAGTGAGCAGCCAGGGCTCAGAGATAGCGCTCATTTTCTGGGGAAAACCGTGCAGGCGTCACAAGTAAGCCAGCGTGCCACGTGGCACCTCCACCTGAACACGCTAATAACGGGCTCAGACACAACGTGTTCTCCAGGTGAGACTTAATTCTTCCAAAACATCTTATGGCCTGCGAGCCTTCCCTTTGGGCTTGGGCACAGATCCGCGATGGAGAGGTGTCTTCCTGTCCATGTCTCTCAACCAGTCCATGTGGGTTTCCTCTCTTCCAGGAGCCAGATCGGCAGTACATGCACATAGGCACCATGGTGGAGTTCGCTTTCGCCCTGGTGGCAAAACTGGATGCCATCAACAAGCACTCCTTCAATGACTTCAAGCTGCGAGTGGGTACGTGGGGCAAGGTGATCTGGGCTTGGGCATGGAACAGAGAAGGGAGTCCAGGAACTGAGAATGGTCCGTAGGTGCGGTTATAACTCCATCTGTAGGGTAGCAGGACCGAGTTCCAGGTGGACAGGCTGAGGGATTCAATGAGCCTGTGTAAATTGGGGGGGGGGGGAATTAGTTCTTTTGGTTGGACCCACATCGTAAGCATGGCCCGTTTATCTGGTAGAAGGCGGTTGGAGCTCAGTCTCTGTAGCTCATGTGTGTCCAGCCAGAGTCCTGGACTTCTTATTTCCTGTGTTACTGATTGAATGTTGTTCCATTATTTCACTGATGTTACTAAGAACCTGCTACTGTAACACATCCAGATTTCAGTGTTCTAACCCCCAAGATCCCTGCCAGACTTGTGTCTCATGTTATCCATAGGGCTCTAGATTTTTCTTCCAGTCTTAGGGGCAAAAAAAAAAAAAAGAGACATAGACTTCCTGATTTCTAATAGTCTGAACAAACTTTGAAGTTGCTTTTGCAGCATGTGTCATGATTACTTGCCTTTTATAATTTCTCATTAAAAAAGAAGTGTGATTTAAGCCATAGGGTCGCACACGGCTCCCTGTGATGCGTGCTCGATTGCCTGCAGGCATTCATGACATGTAAGAACTTCTCTGACAGTCTTAGCGTCTTCTTAGCAACATATTTTGCTTCCTCTGCAAGTCCACATGACACTGGTTCTGTGACAGGTTCCATCTGTATGGTTTTAACCTTCTTATGCTTACGGATTTGAACTTTTTGAAAAAAAGAAATCTAGATATGTAAAGCTAGTTTTTCCTTTGCTGTACATGCAACCTGAACTTTAAAACCCAAGAGGATTTTATGCCTGGCAAATGTGACTTGCTCCTGGTTTTCAGCCCCCAGTGTGTGTGTGTGTGTGTGTGTGTGTGTGTGTATATATATATATATATATATATATATTTCCTTTGAACACTGCCTGCTCTGTGCACACCACACCTTAACCAGGACTGGGCCAAGTGTGGAAGGGAGGAGGCTGGGGCTGAGGGGGAGGGGCAGGGGGAGGCCCCCATCCCCAGCATCGTGTCACTTTGGTCCAAAGTACTGTAGATTGTTTTGGCCGCTTAAGAAATGGTGTCATCAAACAGTTGTACTAAGTCTAGGTGTGTCGGTCCTTTCCCTGTTGCTATAACAAATTGCCTGAAGCTGAGTGATCATAAGGAATATGATGTGCTTGGTTTACCATTTTAGAGGCTTGAAGGGTAGCCCCCCTCTCTCAAGGGGGTAGAACTCACTCAGTCTAAGGTGCCTGGCTGCGTGGTCACCTGGACAGGTCGGAAACCAGAAAGAACTGGAAGGGTTAGGCCTGCTCTTCTGTAAGGGGCCCCTCTCAAGGGAACTCAGTCTAAGAGTTGCCTTCATTGACCCCTTCCAGGGGCTGCACCCCCAGTGACTTGATGAGCTTGCACTGAGACACACCTCTTAATGATTCCACATCTTAAACCTCGCCACACCAAGGAGGACCCAGATTGGACACCTGAACTTTAGGGAGCACATGTCCAGTCTTCTCTTAATAGAAGCTTATTGCATGGCAGAGCGACCTCTATCATCATACCTAGATGGGTCCAAGATGGCCTTGCGCCGCCCCCAGCACAGGCCCAGGACAACTCTTCAGCAGCCACAAATATTTTTCTTATCCAGATCCTGATTTTCCAAGTGCATGTGTGCAGTGGTGGACGACTTTCTTCCATTGTGTTGGCTGACACGCCTACTTTGTCCCGATCATTTTATAATTGCTATCTCTGTTCTCAGCCCGCTTACCAGTCCTGTAGACGGTTCCCCTGAATACCTAACCCAGTGTTTCACTTGACCACAAATCACATTCACTCTCGTACTGAGTGGAGAGGCCCACGGCCAGGCGTCGCCAGCCTGGGCTCTCCTCCACCTGTGGAGCCGCTGGCTGAGCTGGAGTCAGCAACCACTGTCAGGAGAGCTGCTGGGTGAGGGAGACAGTCCCAGGCTGTGCCCAGCCCCGACTCCTGGGCACTCTGACCCATGTGACCTAGCTGCAGTGCATTAATTGTTCTGTCCCAGGCAGAGGTGAATTTCATTGACCACTCCACACAAGCAAAGCAGAATGTCCTTCGCACCTCTCTTGTGTCTAGTAAGCTGGTATAGAATAATATTTAAGCCATGGCTAAAATCTGTGGAATAATGATAATAGTAAAATGAATCTCTCAGGAATGCCCCTTTAATCAGCACAGCCGAGCTGATGCGGGCCTGGGCTCAGGGGAAATGGAGGGGAAGGGTCATTGGATCTCCATTCCTCGGTTTCTACAACCCTCTTTGTATTGTGTGCTTAAACTGTGTTCCCAGGAGAAGAATTTAGCACCCGCTCCCGAATGGGGGGGCCACATACAAATTCAGGCGTCCCTGCATGTAGCCGCGACCTGACTTTTAAAGCTTTGTCCCCCATGCCAAGGGCCCTCTTCACATGCCAACCCGTGTCGCAGCATGGGTTTTTATGATTACAGTTATTGAGAGCAACCATTTAGTGGTGGCTTGAGATGTCCCACTATCTGGAGGAATAACACAAAAATCCCACATAAATCAAGATTCCAAGAACTCTACCATGCCTTAGAGCAAGGACTAGACCAGCTAGAACAGTGAGCAGTAACTTTAGAGCCCCGAAGCTTCTAGAAACTATACACAATGCATGTGGGACAGGAGAGCCCAGCTTCAAGGGGGAAAAGGTCTCGACAGCAGAAACCAGCAGACGTTCCAGAGCTAGAGACCATGCTGCACACCACCATCTCGCCGAAGACCAGCTCCTCAGCCTTAACTGCCAGTCATTTCCTCAAGTGAAAAACATCCCCAAACTTGAATTCTATCAAATTCTTTTTTTTTAGGTGCCAATACTGGCTGGGGCTTGAACTCAGAGTCTGGGCACTGTTCTTTAGCTTTTTCGCTCAGACTGGTGCTCTACCACTTGAGCAGCAGCTCCACTTTGGCTTTTTGGTGGTTAATTGGTGATAAGAGCCTCATAGGTTTCCTGTCCCAGCTGGCTTTGAATTACAATCCTTTTATCTTAGCCTCTAGAGTAGCTAGAATTACAGGATTGAGCTATCCACTTCTGGCTTGTCAACTCTTTACACTAACAGTAGTGCAGACTTGGAGAATCCACTGCAAAGCAGTTTAGAAGTGGGTATCGCCACCACCATATTCTTCTTTAGCTCCATTAACTGTCCAAAGAGATTGCATCAAAACAACAAGACGTAAGTGGGGGAAAGCCATGTATGTGTACCAGAAGCTGGTGGTGGAGATGGTTCCAGTTGTAGTAACATAGACCTGGAGCTGCCCGTGGCTTTGTGACAACCCTCCCTCTGATTCATTGCCTGGAATGCGGGGTAACAGCCACGTGACCCACATCATCATCAGGATGTCCTGTCAGTTAGATGACACCAAGATGATGCTCAGAAGCCAAGAACGCTGCTCGTGTGGTTAAGGATATTGGCATTGTGCTTGTCATTTTGGCAAAACATTGGAGTCAACCCAAAAGTCCAACCATAGCAAAACAGTAAATAGAGGGCCATAGGTCTACTCCACTTGCCATTTAGAGTTCAATTTTATTTAGAAGTTGGTGTTATCTATGAAACCACTGGAACCCACCTACCTAAGATTTTATAGTGACCTACAAAACAGTTGTTTTAACTTTTACATTTTAAAAGCATACCAGTTTTCTGCTATTAGAGAAAGATGATACATGGATAGGTAAACAGGAGTCTAGATCATTCTAGAAGGAAAATAAATGAACAGACTTAAACATTGTGGCTGTGCGGAGAGGCCCAAGCTGGAGGGATTTTCTGGGCTTTAGCGTGTCCTGCATTGGGTGGATGTGTCTTAGCAAGGATTGAAGAATGGCCTGGTGACAGTTCAGTCTTTAGGACAGTTGCTGCAGCCCAGGTCTTGATACCAGCTGTGCTGTGTCGCAGGTATTAACCACGGACCTGTAATTGCCGGCGTCATCGGTGCCCAGAAGCCGCAGTATGATATCTGGGGCAACACTGTCAACGTGGCCAGCAGGATGGACAGCACCGGAGTCCTGGACAAAATCCAGGTAAGTCCTTCTGGGTCACCTCAGCCAGGCCTGGCCTCTTACCAACTGCAGGGAATAATCATAGTGGTCATCATCAATTACATGTTAAGCACAAACTTTGTAATTCACTTACACCTTTTGATTGGGGGAAACGTCAGTTTCTGCAGTAATTCAAAACAGCAACAGCAACTGAACTCTAATAATACCCAAGTTATTGCACTTGAGCAAACAGATCTCCCAACCCCCCAATCAACTGTATGCAGGACCATGTGACAGCCCCAGCAGGAAGCACAGGGCCTCACTCTCCTCCCCTAGCCCTCCTCCTGCCCCCGCACCTGGGAAAGGGTTTACCTGGCGCAGAGACCGGGAGCTGCAAGCACGTAGCCCTTGCTCACCCCAGTGCCACTTCCCTGAGAAGGCGAGGGGCTGGACCAGAAGATTGGGGGGAGAGAGAAACATAAGATTGACTGAAAATTGTTTCAACCTCCCATGAGATTTGAAGAGACAAGACCTGAAAGTTCTAGAATCTGTTCAAGGAGAAAAGGGGGAAGAACTAAGCAAAGAGATAGAACTGCAGCTGGAGAAAAATAAAATGATGTCACGTGCATATTCCCGTGGCTCCTTCAGTCAGTTTCCACCATGGTGAAAGTAACTGTAATTACAAGAGAACTTATCCCATTCCAGGAGAGAGAGGTGGCTACAATTGCTAAAACGATCATTGGAAAAACCTGTTGCGGGAAGCGTGCTGAAACTCCGCCGTGCAGCAGTAGGGCAGTGAACGGTGTGGGTGAGAGGGAGAGCCAGGAGGAGAGGGGAGGCTGGCAGAGGCTGGAGACCTAGTTTCCTAGTTTGTGTGGTAGAATGCCAACCAAGCAAGCAAGCTGAGCAAGCCACAGGCCCTGAGTTCAAAC